TCTAACCCGATATTTAAAGCACTATTCACTAACATGAGAATCCAAAGAGAATGTCACATTTAAGGCCAGAGGAGCTGAAAGTAGATCAAAGCTGACCTCGAGAATGTTCCAGTCTGGCTATTTTGACCTCACTTTGGTGAATAATGCTCTAAACTGTATCACTCTGAGTGTCTCTGTACTAGTCTCATGCTGGAAGGTACCGTCCTCCTCTATAGTAGACTATGGACTGATACACCCACATGTTGTCCTTCATATAGAGTGTTACAGGTCACTGGGCTGGAAAGTCAAACCAGTGATTGGTCGGTTAGCTGAGACTGTAAGTGATTATTTGAATAGTTCTTTAATTCTATCTGAATTGATGGCTGTGTTACTAAAACCCTGTAATTATCAAATGTCACATTAAAGGACCACTATAGTGCCAAGAAAACATACTCGTTTTCCTGGCACTATAGTGCCCTGAGGGTGCTCCCACCCTCAGGGTCCCCCTCCCGCCCGGCTCTGGAAGGGGGAAAGGGGTAAAAACTAACCTTTTTCCAGCGCTGGGCGGGAGCTCTCCGCCTCCGTTCCTCCCCGTCGGTTTAATACGCACGCGCGCCAGGAGCTGCGCGCGCATTCAGCCGGTCGCATAGGAAAGCATTATCAATGCTTTCCTATGGACGCTTATGCGCTCTCACTGTGATTTTCACAGTGAGAATCACGCTAGCGGCTGTCAATGAGACAGCCGCTAGAGGCTTTGGGGGAAGGCTTAACCCATTCATAAACATAGCAGTTTCTCTGAAACTGCTATGTTTATAACAGAATGGGTTAAGCCTAGATGGACCTGGCACCCAGACCACTTCATTAAGCTGAAGTGGTCTGGGTGCCTAGAGTGGTCCTTTAACACACGATCAGTAGATATATTCCATCAAATTCATAGCTTAGATTCTTCTGCATTCCATATTTAGTCTGTGGGGGTCTGCTGGGCTTAGTGGTTTTGCTAGGGAACTGTTCAGTTTATGGAGAGCTGCAGGGTTCAGTGTTCGGTCTATGGAGAGCTGCAGGGTTCAGTATTCAGTCTATGGAGAGCTGCAGGGTTCAGTGTTCAGTCTATAGAGAGCTGCTGGGTTCAGTATTCAGTCTATGGAGAGCTTCAGGGTTCAGTATTCAGTCTATGGAGAGCTGCGGAGTTCAGGGTTCAGTCTATGGAGAGCTGCAGGGTTCACCTATGGAGAGCTGCAGGGTTCAGTGTTCAGTCTATGGAGAGCTGCAGGGTTCAGTTTATGGAGAGCTGCTGGGTTCAGTACTCAGTCTATGGAGAGCTGCAGGGTTCAGTGTTCAGTCTATGGAGAGCTACAGGGTTCAGTGTTCAGTCTATGGAGAGCTGCAGGGTTCAGTATTCAGTCTATGGAGAGCTGCTGGGTTCAGTGTTCAGTCTATGGAGAGCTACAGGGTTCAGTGTTCAGTCTATGGAGAGCTGCAGGGTTCAGTATTCAGTCTATGGAGAGCTGCTGGGTTCAGTATTCAGTCTATGGAGAGCTGCGGAGTTCAGGGTTCAGTCTATGGAGAGCTGCAGGGTTCAATCTATGGAGAGCTGCAGGGTTTAGTGTTCAGTCTATGGAGAGCTGCAGAGTCACTGGATTCTGTTAACCAATTAATTTGACAAACTCTACCTGAATTGTGCCTAAATTGCCCTGTGCTTCAGACACCGAAATCAGTAAGTAAACCTGGGGTGGAGGCATTGAGCTCCTGACCTGATGGCTTCCATTCTCAATAAACCTGAAATCCTTTGGCCCTCTGTCAGCTCTCGGTTAATGAGCTATAATACTGATGATTGGATTGGGATTTTTAGTTCACTAATAGGTTACGTACCCTGGGTGAGCTAGTTATTCCATATCCCAGTAATTAATAAGCATTCTGCTAGGATTTTATTCCAGCAGACAGACCGACACAATCCGAGTTGCATTTCAATAAAAAGGCGTCTGCGAGGGGTTTGAGCTCTCAGGAATGTCAGGCTTGTTGCCATCTTTGCTAGGGAACATTCAGGGTGTCTCCGGGTGAAAAAAAAATAGGCTACTTTCTACGATATTTTATCTTAAAGAAATTGATCTACAACAGTTATATCCACCGTGTGTCAGTGATTGCGCCACTTGTGTCGTTGTTCCCAGAATTCCTTGCTGCTCCCTCTGCATATGGCACAGACTCTGGACGCAGAGGACGAAGACAGAACTGTGGAAATAAGTAAAAAACATTATACAGATCAGAGCATTAACATGTTGCTGTTATTATGTGTGTGAATGATGGCATTGTTTTATTTTGTTGTTTATTTGTAGGAATGTGTGTTTAGAGGGTAATCCATTCAGGTCTTCATTGTTATAAGAAGGACTGACCCTAAAACATGTCACGGTCATTCATCTTCTGTAACCTGCTTCACCTCTGCCCTCTGCTGGTCTTTATTGGAAGTGCATTGCATCCCAATAGACCCCTTGTACACACATTTCTTCCCAGTGAAATGTTACATTGTTTGCAATAAGTCTATTCAAGTTTATTTCAAATATATGTTGACTTTAAAGGCCATTGAACCTTTGCAATAAATTTATATTGATATAAAAATAATAAATTTTAATATAATTTAAGTTTTAATTTAAAAAAAACATGGCTGGGCTGTCCCCCCATATTGAATATACATCATATTTATCATATTGTCAGTAAATCTTAATGGATGTATTGTTTGTTTCTGATGAATAAAACTGTTTTCCTTAAAGTGTTTATAATCAGTGATATAACCCATATCCCTATATCTCCATATAACCCTCCCTATAAACCTTCCTATTACTCCATATAACTCTCCCTATAACCCCTCCTATTACTCCATAAAACCCTCCCTATAACTCCTCCTATTACTCCATATAACCCTCCCTATAACTCCTCCTATTACTCCATATAACCCTCCCTATAACTCCCCCTATTACTCCATATAACCCTATAACCCCTCCTATTACTCCATATAACCCTCCCTATAACTCCTCCTATTACTCCATATAAACCCTCCCTATAACTCCTCCTATTACTCCATATAACCCTCCCTATAATATTACTCCATATAACCCTCCTATAACTCCTCCTTACTCCATATAACCCTCCCTATAACTCCTCCTATTACTCCATATAACCCTCCCTATAACCCCTCCTATTACTCCATATAACCCTCCCTATAACCCTCCTATTACTCCATATAACCCTCCCTATAACTCCTCCTATTACTCCCTAACCCTCCCTATTACTATTACTCCATATAACCCTCCCTATAACTCCTCCTATTACTCCATATAACCCTCCCTATAACTCCTCCTATTACTCCATATAACCCTCCCTATAACTCCTCCTATTACTCCATATAAACCTCACTATAACTCCTCCTATTACTCCATATAACCCTCCCTATAACCCCTCCTATTACTCCATTTAACCCTCCCTATAACTCCTCCTATTACTCCATATAACCCACCCTATAACTCCTCCTATTACTCCATATAACCCTCCCTATAACTCCTCCTATTACTCCATATAACCTCCCTATAACCCCTCCTATTACTCCATATAAACCCTCCCTATAACTCCTCCTATTACTCCATATAACCCTCCCTATAACTCCTCCTATTACTCCATATAACCCTCCCTATAACCCCTCCTATTACTCCATATAACCCTCCCTATAACTCCTCCTATTACCTCCCTATAACTCCCCCTATTACTCCATATAACCCTCTCTATAACTCCTCCTATTACGCCATATAACCCTCCCTATAACTCCTCCTATTACTCCATATAACCCTCCCTATAACTCCTCCTATTACTCCATATAACCCTCCCTATAACTCCTCCTATTACTCCATATAACCCTCCCTATAACCCCTCCTATTACTTCATATAACCCTCCCTATAACTCTTCCTATTACTCCATATAACCCTCCCTATAACCCCTCCTATTACTCCATATAACCCTCCCTATAACTCCTCCTATTACTCTATATAACCCTCCCTATAACCCCTCCTATTACTCCATATAACCCTCTCTCAGGGCCGGAACTAGGATTTTTGGCTACACAGGCGAATTTGCATTTTGCCGCGCCTTCCCTCCCCTCCCCCCAAAAAAGTATCTTCACCTGTGTGCCTCGTAACCCCTCTTTTGAATTTCTTACCCCCTTTAGTGTTACATATCCCCTCTTGAATGTGTTATTCCTGTGTGTGTTACACCTCCTTTAGTGTATTATATCCCCCTTTAGTGTCCTACACCCCACCTCCCCTGTGTCTCTTACTTGCCCACCAGCCCCTTTCTGTGTCACTGTGCTTTACTGTGGGGGATAGGGACTTTATTTTTATTATAATATATATAGCGCCAACAAATTCTGTAGCGCTGTACAATAGGGCTTTAGTACTGTGTGTGTGTGGGACTAGGGCTTTAGTCAAGGGGAGATAGGAGTAGTATTGGGGAATAGAGGCAGAATTGTGGGGGATAGAGACTTTAGCGAGGGGGGACTAGGGGCAGTATTATGGGGGGACAGGGACTTTAGTGTGGGGGGACTAGCGGCAGTATTGTGGGGGATTGGGGCAGGGGCCATATTTTCAAAGATTGATTCTTTAGTGGGGACAGGGCCCATATTGTGGAGGATTGATTCTTTAGTGTGGGGGGAAAGGGGCAGTATTATAGGGGATTGGGGCGTTAGTGTTTTGGAGCTTTAGTGGGGGGGGGGGGCAGACACAGTATTGTGGGGGCCTGGGCTATGTTGGGGGTTAGGAACAGTATGGGGGGACAGGAGTGGTATTGTGGGAGGTAGAGCAGCACTGTGGGGAACTGGGGCTATTGTGGGGGACAGGAGCTATGGTGGGAGGGGGGATAAGGGGCACATTGTGGGGAATGAGGGGATAGGAACAGTATGAGCGGTAGGGCAGCATCACACACACACACTCTCTCTCTCTTTTTTTTTTTTTCAATCAACCCAGTCTCCCTACCTTTTGGAGACCGGGAGTGGATCCACAGCCTGGGATTCAGAGGGCTACCGCAGTGCCTCAATGAGTGAGCTCTGATCTAGATCCACATTTCCTGTATAGCTCCCTCGCGCGCCCGGGACGTCTAAAGGGCACGCACGAGGGAGCTATACAGGAAATGCGGATCTAGATCAGAGCTCACTCACGCGCCCTCTCCTCCTGCGCCGGGCTGCGGAGGTACTGGCGCTCGGCCACGCTACAGTAAATGACCATCAGGAGAGGAGTGCTGTGCTCGTCTCTCCTGCTGGTCAACTGGATATTTGCACCACCTGCTCCATATAACCATCCCTATAACTCCTCCTATTACTCCAGATAACAACTCCTATCACTCCAGGACTCCACAAATCCCAAGTTACCATGACGACTAGGAATTCTGTCCTGTTGCCTGGGTATTTGTCAGCCCTTGGTAAATGGAGGCAGCCAGCCCAGGGATCCATTGAGAATGTACACAGTTGCGCGAGAGAGCAGTAATCTTCCTGCAGTTCTAGCTCTGCTCCTTGCGATGCCGGCAGCCGGGCTATGACGTCACTCCGGCATCACTAAAACGTGCGAGTAAGTAGAGCTCGAGGAGTTTGAACATTACAGCAACCCCACTGGACCCCAAGGAAAGGATCCACTCCAGCTCTTTTAAAAACAATGGTGTGTGTCTGAGCATATCACAGAGCTCCACAGCAATAAAACTCACAATAATTTGTGGTATGAGTGGATCACAGAGCTCCACAGCAATAAAACTCACAATAATTTGTGGTATGAGTGGATCACAGAGCTCCACAGTAATAAAACTCACAATAATTTGTGATATGAGTGGATCACAGAGCTCCACAGTAATAAAACTCAATAATTTGTGGTATGAGTGGATCACAGAGCTCCACAGTAATGAAACTCACAATAATTTGTGGTATGAGTGGATCACAGAGCTTCACAGCAATAAAACTCACAATAATTTGTAGTGTGAGCAAATCACAGAGCTCCACAGCAATACAACTCACAATAATTTGTGGAATGAGTGGATCACAGAGCTCCACAGTAATAAAACTCCGTAACAAGAGTTTAATCTTCTTTGACTTGGATTTCGCTTTAACTCTTCGAATGCCTGTTATGCATCCAATGGATTGGAAACACACTTCTGGTATTCGAATAGTTAAATTACTCGTCAAATGGCAGAAATAGTTATCAGTTATAAAGTCTCCTCGATAACACGATAAGCACTGCAAGACGAAAGCCTCACAGAGCAAAACTGGCCACTCTGTCATTCTCACTAATGGCCACCAGAGGTCAGAATTACATTGTAAAATCTGCATTTTCATTATTTTTTTTGTGACATTTCGATTAAAGGAGCCGTATCCTATATTCCTAACACTATCATGCCCCAGTCCAGTTCTGAGCTCTCAACTGCAATAAAAATGATTTGAAAATGTTTTACTGACCTTTTCTCCAGTCACGAGCTCATTGAAAAATATTGCCCACACTTTTTCTTCCCGTAATTGGAACCAGGAAAATAACATTGAAATTAGTTCTAAATAGGGTTAATGTATCCATCATGTTTCAGGGACACGTATAATTTAGTTATATTGAAATAAAAAGCATCAAAAGGGCTGCCCTGCAGTATGTATA